GGATCCATTGTAGTCATTCACATGGTATACATTCAATGTGGGATTTTGATTTGAGACTTTGTACACATAATATTTATTTTATGGGGTATTTCGGGATTATTTTACGTGCTACTGTTTTGTTCTCTCTCCTCCTCTTTAGGGAAGTTTTAGTTTCTGCCCGTGGATGTAGGCTAAGGCCCATACCACATAAACCACTTGTGTTTGTTCTCTCTGTGTTGCCTAAAATCTCGATTTGCTACTTCTGCATAACAGAAACAACTGTTACAAAATACAGTGAGAACATTCAGAACTAAACATATGCTGGTCATCACTGATGAGCTCTGTTTTGAATCAAAGAAATCCACATATTTCTTTATGGTGATGCATCTTTGACTGTGAGGTGTCAGTACCTTATTTCTTCTTTTTTAACTCGACGGTTCTCGCATATCCTACTGTCTTCCACACTTGAAACCCTCCACCGGAGATACTTTTCTTAATAAAATTCTCTTTGGAGCTCAGTTTCATCTCTGATTAAACCGGTAACAATTTGTTTCATATCGAATAGTTTGTGAGGATATTTAACGGTTTTTGCTCTTTATTTGCTATTCGGTTATAAGTTATTTATTCATGTTTTTTCGTAACTTTTTTGGTTCGTGATTGCAAGAAGTTCTAAGTATTTTTTATTTCTTTGGATTGTATATGAAATATTGGTTTTGAAATTCTACTTCTCCTCAATTATCGTATTTGATGTTTACTTGTTTCCAAGAGTAACATATTTCTGTTTGGTAGATGAGCATTAAGGGTTGAACAGGAAAAAAGAAAGACACTAATCTTATTCCTAATTCTTTTTTATTTTTCTATTTGTTCCCTAGAAATATTAGTCTTCATATTTCTGTATGTTTTCTGAAACGGAAAACGTGTCCTGAACATGGAGAGGCAATGCCTAATAGTTATTTAAGTTTTTAGATTTTGATATTGTTTTGTTCTTAGTTTCTCTCTTTAATGTTCCTTTTATATTTATTCAGTACTTTCAATTGTTAAAATGTTGTTTATTTCTGAGAAGGCTGTGATGTTTCTGGTTATGGGAAAGCCGGTGTGCTTGATTTTTCATTCCAGTGTCATATTTTGTGCTTTCTATCAGAATATTTTATATGAGGTAAGCTCTCTTGCTTGCCCAACAGAATTTTTTGTCTTTTTCCTTGTCATCCCTAATGTTCATTATCAAACAGAAAATTCTTCATATAGCATGTAATATGAACATCAAATATAAGAACAATGGAGAAGTGGGGTTTCAAAATGAATATTTCACTTACAGTTTGAGAGAATATTACCTGATAAACCAAGATCTAAAAGGGAAGTTTGTTAAAAAGGGCATTTCAGGTTAGGGTTTGAAGAAGTGAGATGGAGCCTCCATTTGGCAAAACTTATAAACAATAATTGGTCAAACTTCATTTTCAATCAAACATTTCAATGACCCACAAGTGCCATCCAATTATCTGTCGCTCATCTTCTATCTATGTAGAAATTAAAAACCATTCATAAATTCTTCCTAAACGGAGGTAGAAATTGTAAGAGAGTCCATTGAGTGAAAAAAAGAGGATGAAATAATAACCAAGTTCATATCCTTTATTTGGCCTTTATTTTTGAAAGATGATCATTATGCTATTAGTTTAAATTATTATAAAGAGAAACTGAACCTTTTGATAGGCGGAGAACCAAATTTATCTACTCTGCAAGTCATTCAGTCTGTTGCCCCCTCCCCTCCACTTGTGTATTTCTCTTCTGGGGATTTTCAGCTGTCGACAATATTATTTAGCTAGAAGTAGTCATCTAATGTAACTCTTTCTTCCCATTCTAGGCACATTTTTAAGAGTGGTTGTAAGGCTTTATCCTGGTCCATTTTGTGTTTACACCTGTGAATAGGTTTTTGCTGTTGCTGTTTGTCTTTGAGTATTGCCATTTTATCCCTATCCTCATGTGGCATTATAAGACCAATTGAGAGTGTCTAGTTGGTCCTTTTATGTGACCCTACCATCACATGGGGATGAGACTAATAGCATAATTTTTCTCTCTGTTGTTGGGTTTTCATTTAATGTTTAGGTTTCTTAGCAATGGTAACTACTGATAGGGTCAAGGTCGTCTTCTACAGTTGTGGATTGATGTACAGGTTTGAATCCCCCCACTCTTCTTCATATCCATACAGATAAATAAGGGAAAAAGCAATCTTGCTCCAAATTTTGTTACATCTTAATCAGCTACTTCTCATTGCTGTATTTTGTTCTGTGTGAGGATTGTTTTATTGTTGGGAGACTTTTTTTTTAACAAATGGTGGGAGAGGGAACTTGCATATAGGACGGTGAGAACTATATACTCGAAAGTGCGGCATGTATTAAGGTGGTCACTTTTTCGGAAAAGATCATGAGTCTGATGATTTAGCCCCCTGTTTAGCTAAAAATCAGTTTTTAAGTAGATTTTGATGAAAACTGATGAAATATGTTGTTGAAAAGTTGATAAAGTTGTAGATTCTATGCGGGGTTGAAAATGAAGCATGAAGAAAAATGAGTTTTAGAAAATGGGGGTCAAACATGGAGTTAATACAATTGGATGGTCATATAATGCTCTGCCATTGAGATGGTAACGTCTAACTCAAGTGTATCAAAAATTGTGTGTTAAATTTTTTTGCAGTTGCATCTCTGTGCAGCATAGTTTTTTTTATTAAGACTGTTGATTGCTTTCTATGGACACTTGCAGGAATAATATACGAATGGGATTGGATAATATTAAATAAGAAAAATGAAAATGAAATATTGTTTGTAATGCTATCCAGCAGTGTCGACTATTGCTTATTGAACATGCCGAATAATGTATTGTTTGCGATGATTTTTAATATTTCATTTGTTTCACTCCTTGGAATGAGAATTTTGAAAAAAAAAAAATGCACCTAACTTGCAATGCAGCTTCCAACCTTTACAATTCCCTTCTTCTCGGAGGGAGCTTATATAATAATTTACTCGCACAAAAAAAAAAAAAAAAAAAAAAAAAAAAAAATGCACCTAACTTGCAATGCAGCTTCCAACCTTTACAATTCCCTTCTTCTCGGAGGGAGCTTATATAATAATTTACTCGCACAAAAAAAAAAAAAAATGCACCTAACTTGCAATGCAGCTTCCAACCTTTACAATTCCCTTCTTCTCGGAGGGAGCTTATATAATAATTTACTCGCACAAAAAAAAAAAAAAAAAAAAAAAAAAAAAAAAATTCTGGAAATATTTACTTCTTAAATTCATATTGAGGTATTGAATTATGGTATTAATTTGAAATATGCCTAAAGGGTATCTTCTCTCTTACTCTGATCGATGCTGTTACTGTGCAGGTGGAGAGCGACTCGAAAACTTGGATGAGTGTTGAAACATCCATCACAGATGTAGAGTGTTGGGGATTATTGATGTATGTGTGACCATCACAATGCTGGAAAATAAGTGTAGATTATTTCATAATTTTGTATGGTTATGAAGATGCAAGGATTGACAATCTTATAGAAACCCCTCTAATCATGCTTAGAATCAAACAAGCATCAATAGACTAGAAGAACGAAGGGATTTAGAGCTTTTTATTGATCAGGTGACAATCGGATTTGAAGTGGGGAAAAAGGATTTGTAGTTCCCTGCTTGACTACCTCGGTCACGCTGCCAAAATGGATATGATAATTTTTCCGGATTATGAAATTTTTGTTGTACCGAGTCCTATTTTTCTAAAAGAAACATCATTTTCCATTCCATTGATTATATAATATATGAAAATTCAAAATGCAAAAAAATTATTTGATTTTTCTATTGGTTGAAAACTTGAGTTGAAGATTACAAGTTCCTTCGGATTTCAATTTTTTTTCGGCATTATCACTTTAAGGTATTAGTATTCGGACAATTCTACATCATTTCATAGAATGTGGTAAGTTTAGCTTGACGAGAAGGAAAAAAATCAACTCACTCAACCCTTGTTTGAGTCTCATTCTTAAAAAAAAAAATTTGTATTTTTAAACATTATTTTGACATTATTTCAACCACACATTTTTCAATAAAATAATATTATACGCAAATTCAAAAATTTTTCTTATTTTTTAAACATAAATTTTTCATCAATACACTATTTAAAAATGTATTTTTTCCCTCAAAATGGTGCTCAAACAAGGGCTCAAACTTAATTGGTTCTAAAAAAGACAAAATTATATTATTTAAAGATTGAGTAATAGTTTTTTAACGTAAGACAAAATGGAACCTTAGATAAAGTCCCGACACTAACAATAAATACATTCCTACGTCGAGTTCTCTATTGTTTTTACTTATTTATGCACCAATCACTGCTTTATTCTTAAAAAAAGGAACGTTCACGTAGAGAGGGTGCTACTGTTGTTGTCGACGAGAGTGCATTGCTGGACTTGGAGGGATTGTAATAAATGAGATTAATGACGCGATATGAAATAAGGAAGATTGCAACGAGAAACAAGATTTAAAAGTGAAGAAATTAATAAAGAGAGTTAATTGAAGAGATACGACGTTTTATTAATCGATAATATAGAAAGAAATATAGTAATTCATCAATTCTTGCTTGAACAAAACTGAAAGAGAAAACCACTATTTATAGGTACACGACATAGCATAAAGATAAAAATAATGAGAAATAAGGAAAAAATATATTTCCATAAAAATCACATGAAATATAAGGAAACAATTTTTCTCACATGAAAATAAAAAACCAATCCATTTCCCCAAAAAAGAAAAAAAAGGAAGAAGAAGAAAAAAAAAAAACCCTACCCAAATTGGGGTCACAAACGCAACAATCTCCACTTTGACCCAAATTCTGGTGTAACGAATGAAACTCCAAGATTTCAAATTGTTTGCATCGAAATAGCCAATCTCCTTAACACAGTAATCAAAACTCTCCAAGCTAAACTGTTGTCCTCTACAAGGCGTCCACAAGCGACACCTGAACCTAAATCCTGGGTTCCCAAAATTCCACCAAGGAATTACTGTTGACCAAATATAGTCGAACACACCCTGCAGTAGAAACCATACCATATGTTGGATTAGAAGGCCCCTTACTAGAATTGTCGCCTTCAACGTCCCTAAAAGCAACCCAAACATTATTGACACCATGGTACCTTCGCTCCATGAGTCCAATCCTAACAAATGAATACTATGTATCCGTTGATATTGGTGGCAAAGTGGAATCACCAATACTCCCCTGAGCAATGTTCTGAACCAACTCAGAGCCCATAACAAGAGGTACTGTACAAAACTAAATATTTACCATGGTATTGAACTTGTCCCGATGTCTCTTAACTAGTTTTGCGTTCCCTGCAAGATGTATAATTGAGACTTCTTCCATCCTTTCGATACAACCCGAACACCCATTCGGACCTTCAAAACTTCACTTCCACCAGAGAATTTATACCTTTTTGCATCCAAAATACTAAGTGAGATGAGATTCCTTTTCAAGTTTAGAACATGGCGAACCTGAAAAAATTGTTTTGATTGTTCCATCCTGCAGCCTGAATTTGACTCGATCGATCCAACAATACGACAAGATTGTTTGTTTCCCATTACAACTCTACCTTCCTGAATAGCTTCATATGTTTGAAAGAAATTTCGATTGGAACACATGATGTAAACATGCTAAATCGAGAATTCACTCATCATCAGGCTTAGATTTCAAGTCAGATACCATTGTCAACATCACATCTCCACCGTCTGAAAAATCCTCAACTACATTTGTTTTGTCTGAAGTCAAAGATTGCGCTCCATGATTTGCAGCTAAATCACCTTAAGCCTGCAACTTATCACAATCCTTCTGAATATGTCCCTTACGTCTACAGTAGAAGCAAAACAAATTGCTGTTATTCTTCGATCTGTCCCTCCATCGACCACCATGAGATACACGAGATTCTTCATCCCTTGATGTAGCTCCGACCAAATGCTTCAATCGATGTAGCTCCAACCAAATGCTTCAACGTCTCCTTTGAGTGAAAAGCATCATAGACGTCGTCTATAGTCAAAGTATTTCGACTATACAAAATGGTATCCCGAAACGATGTATAAGAGCTAGGCAGCTAACATAACATGATCAAGGCAATATCCTCTTCATCGTATTTAACCTCTAACGTCTCCAAATCTGCGATAATTTCCTTGAACACGGCAATATGGTCTTACAACGACCATCCTTCCACCATGTGATGAGAATATAGCTTCTGCTTTAGAGCCAGTTTACTAGTAAGATTCTTAGTCATACATAACTGCTCCAGTTCCACCCACAGAGCAGCTGCTATTTTCTCCTTCAAGACATCCTGCAGAATGTTGTTGGATAGATGAAGATGAATCAATGATAAAGCCTTTCGATCCCTTCGTTGTTTATCCTCCATTGTCCAATTAGCTGGCATCTTCTCAAAACTCAGCAACACATCATCCAAATCCAATTGCGCAAAAATAACTCTCATCTTTACTTACCACAAAGAAAACCTTGTATTGCGATCTAATTGAGGAATATCATACTTCAAAGCAGCCATCTCTGAAAAACCTCAACCAATCAATAACAAGAACCAGGCTTTAATACCACTTGTTGGAGCCGGATGGATTGTAATAAATGAGGTTAATGATGCAGTATGAAGTAATGAAGATCGCAACGGGAAACAAGATTTAAAATTGAAGAAATTAATAAAGAGAGTTAATCGCATAGGCATGACATTTTATTAATTGACAATAAGGAGATAAATACAAGAACTCAGCAATTCTTGCTTAAACAAAATTGAAAGAGAATACCACTTTTTATAGTTACATTACATAGCATAAAGTTGAAAATAATGTGAAATAAGGAAATAATATGTTTCCATAAAAATCACCTGAAATATAAGGAAACAATTTTTTCCACTTGAAAATAAAGAAACAATTTATTTCGAAAAAAAAAATCCACCCTAATTTGGATCACAAACCTAACAATTTTGGTAACAACACAGTTGCAAATTTCCACTAGCTTTGGTTGGATCCATTTCTTGCCATGGTTGTAGCCGGTTTTTTCAAGATTTTCAACATATTGATTTTGATATATTTTTCTCTCTCCCATTTTCATTTTTCTTTGGGATTTTGGTTTTGCTTTGGGAAAAAACTTCGATCACGAGATATGGTGGCGACGCATATTTGGCAGTGGTGATGGCGATGATTGTTCTGGTGCAAGCAACAATGATGGAGCATATGTGATTCATATGATTTCGAGTCGGGGTGGTATAATTTTAGATATGGTGATGGTACTTTAAGTGGATATTCTTAGACAGTGATGGTAGTGGTAGGTGGCGTTATGGTGGCTATGGAGTAGATATGGTGTTTATAAACGTAATGGTGAAGGTGGCAGTGCAGATTGGTGATGGTACTCTTTGTGGTTTGTGACAGTGGTGAATGGGGTGGCATTTATGGTGGTGATGTTGCTTTTACATAGTTTTTGATGGTGGTACAAATTTGAAGGAAGTGGTGGAGATCAGCCTCAATGGTGATAGTGGCATTGAATACAGGTTGTGACGTTTTAACGTGGTATGTTACAAATGGTGGTGACAATGGTGATTACAGTGGTAGCGTAACACAATATGTTATATGTACTAGTAGTGATTATAGTAGTGGTATAACAGTGAATATTACAAGTGTCAAAGACAACGACATGCGGAAATCGGGAACCGACATAACAATGTTATTAATAAAAGACTATAACACACTGTGTTACAAAATATAATGTAAAAGCAATAAAAAAACAATATAATAAGAAAAACTATATTGCTTGAAAAAAAAGGGGTAAGCATATTGAGTAGGGTTCGACAAAACTCTCGAATTGAATTGAACTGAATCGAGTGGTTCTTTTTAAGTTAAATACCCGAATGGGTGTTAAAATCTAGAATCGACGGGTTCTAATCGATTCTCGATTCTAAATCAAGAACTAATGAATTGAGTTTTCCTATTTTTTAATTTAAATAAACTAAATTATTTTAATTTTTTTTCTGTTTCATTTGCCAACTAATTAATTGAGCCAAAATATCATTTTCTTGTTTCAGCCCAAACTCAACTTTATAATTCAAATTTCAAAGAATCAAAATTTAGTGACCTAAAATTTTCTCAATCATTCTGCCATTTCTTAGATAAGTGAAGCTCAGCGGTTGTGCCTTTCTTCATCTTACCCTTTTCTACCTTATTTATTGAATTTCCTTCACTTTGATCAAGGTAATTTGTATAAATTTGTTAACGGATCATATTAGAAAAATTGTTATTCATATATTTTTAAATTGAACTACGTTATCTTGTAACTGTGAATATAGAGTTGTAAGGGTTAAGATTGAACATGTTAGTAGTTGAATTAATGCAGTATTATTATAAATGTTAACAAATTTAATCATGGCACAAAATCAAATTGAACCGAACGGAATCTAGTTGGTACGATTCCATAATTAAATTTAAATCCGATTATTTCAATTACTAAATACAATATTTTAGTATGCTTCGGTTATCTTTATAAATGAACTGAACTAGACCATGTCTAACCTTAATATTGAGAAATTATTTATTTTTATTCTATTTGTGGAAAGTACTAAAAAAAAAAAAAAAAAAAATTTTCCAGG